GCTACGATTTGCATTGACACAACGGTACAGGATGTAAATAATCAATGTGGAGTTAACTCTCTCCGTGGTTTACGTTGCCGCCCAGACTCGCAGACAAACGTGCAATATGCACTTACCTTTCAGCGCTGCTGCAATTCGATTGGTCAACTCCTTCTCGCTGTGCCTATAAATACTCAGTCGAATTGTGATATAAGACCTTGCTCTTTTTTAATTCTTACCTGTTTTGGCAATGATGAACCTTTCCAATCCATCCATATCGCTCATCACACTTGAAGGGGAAATGATGACCGATTCCTGCCGCTACTGCGACGATGTCACTTTGCCCAAGTCAAAATGGTGTAAGTTGCATTTATTTGTGTGTTCCTAATATCACGCATAGACATGTCATCACGCGTGCTCAACGTGGATGACTATAGACTCCTTATGGATTGTGGATGGCGTCGGTAGGCGGCAAAAGATTGTACAGTTTAAACCATCTCAAATTTAGGCATGGAAATCGCATCTACAAGACGATGAACGAGAAGACATGCTGTCCTGTTTACACAATTAGGTGTGACACGGAGCACTTCAAGATTTCGAAGTCGCAAAAGAGAGTACTGAATATTGTTTCAAACTTTTTGGCCAAGGGTGAGAAACCGAGCTGCGCTAGAAAGTTCCAGAGGGCCTGTACTGCATCCGTTATCAGTGCAGAGCAAAGTAATACCGCCTCTCCCCTTTCTTCCAAGGGAGGGTGTCACAAAGATACTGGTGACGATATCAAGAATCGGGAATCAGCTGCGATAACTGGACCTACTGACTCGGATGTAAGTGGGTGTAGAAATGAAGAGCCAACGTCTGGACTACCAAGATCTTCCCAACCAAAGCGGTGGCAAGCTAATCGGGAATCTGCAACAAATTGTGAGGCATTTATGCAGACCTGTCCACAAACACGAAAGGATGTGCTCAAAAAGAATAAAGCAAAGGACATTGAAGATTACCTACACGAAGAAGGACTAAGGGACGACGCTGTGCACACTTTGGATGTACGTTGCGTTCTATTTTTGATAGTGTGTCCTATGTTGTCAGTATGTGTGTTATTCATGGCTCCAAATGCGCGTAATCTTAAATAGATTCGATTGTACCCATGTGCGCCCTTGTCCTTTGAACTCGAGGCGACGCTCGACGAGGAGTACAAATTGTACCGCAACTACCAAGTTAGTGTTCATGGTGCATCGCCGGCAAGCCTAAGTCGCGAGGCATTTAACGAATTCCTGGTGGAATCCACGCTTGCGGTAAGTCTGCTTTTTCCATTTATTCTGCCCAACCTGAAGATTCATTAGTATCATCAAACCTGTAATTCTGCCTGACTACAGAGTGCACACGATGCTGCGGCGGAAACCGCTGGTGCTCCACAATTCGGCTCATACCACCAGCAATACTGGCTGGATGGGAACACATTGATTGCCGTTGGCGTGTTAGACCTGGTTCCAGGTTGCCTTTCCTCTGTCTACTTCTTCTATCACCCAGATTACGCCTTCCTCAGTTTGGGTACTTACTCTGCTCTTAGGTTTGTTTCATTCTACCAATAAATGCTTCATGCCAAACGCAGCTGGGCCGTTTGATAACACAATTATTGTCTAACTTGCGTATTAGGGAGATTGCCTTTGTCCGACACCTCCATCAAAAGTACGCATCGGTTGTGCCTTCTTATGCCGACTTCACGCAATACTACATGGGATACTACGTACACTCCAGTCCTAAGATGCGCTATAAGGCCCAATTTTCTCCCTCCTACCTCGCCTGCCCTGAAACATATGTGTGGGTCCCCATGGAGAAGTGTAAGCATCTGCTGGACCAATGCAAGTACAGTCGATTGGCAGGGGAAGAGGCAGAAAACGCATCACCTACACATAGCTACAGCAACACAAAAATCCTACTTCCTTTCTGCGAGGCGCTGATATCTGCGTTGCCCAAAGACGGCTTTGTAGTGGAAGGCGATGCAATAGTAACGACTCTTGCGGAGGCAGAGGGCGTGCTTTCTAGGAGGGAAGTTCAACTCGTCAATGAGTGGATCCGTCTTGTCAACGGCACTGGAACCATACACATTAGTTGTACGATTTAAACATCTATGAAATTTGACTAAGAGAGTTAACTCCACATTGATTATTTACATCCTGTACCGTTGTGTCAATGCAAATCGTAGC